TATTTGATGGATTTGATAGAATCAGTCTTAAACATAATTCCAAAGCTGACCCAATCTTTGTAGCACTTCAGAACGTCCTGTTGGGCGTTTTAGTCTTTGTTCCATTTGAAGAGTCCCAAAAGTGAAGTAGTTGACCATGCAGGAGTTGAGCTCTGTCATAGGTGTGCTCTGTGTGTTTGTGTCTATGAAACACGCATGCGTGTCTTCGCTTCTGTGCATAACTCGCCCCCCTCTTTAATTTCCCTACAGAGGTGCTTTTCATTAATCAGCCTCTATAAAACTCTCCAGTCATCACAGCTCTACATACTAAACGCTGAGTGGACCGCTGATGTGACTCGCTGATCAGGATATGCAGCTCCTCCAGGTCGCGACCCTGCTGCTTTCTCTCCTCTGCACCACACACGGTGCCTCTGAGGCCAACTGTGACCGCTGGCAGGACCTGGACTCTGCGGTGGTCCATAAGGACGGCCAGGTGATTCTGGCTGGAATGTTTCCCATTCACTCTAAGGGCATAGAGCAGCAGCTGAACTTCACCAGTTCACCAGGCAAGAGGAGATGCAGGGGGTAAAGAGTGTTGGCTCCTGACTTTTTTTTCCACACTTCCTGCTTCAGAGGGGCTGCCAATGATTAAAGCCCCCCTTTTACTTCACTGGCTTTGAAGTGTTCAAAATGCACTTTGCTCTTTCTGTAATTGTTCAGTGGCTGTGTTGTGCACAGGAGACGCATCGCTCTTGATCATATTTATCAAAGAAACCGCACTGACCATGTCATTCACCTGTAGGGGTGGGCAATGTAATGATGTTTCACATTATTTTGATAAAAGAAATTGTGATATACTTTTCTGAGTGTATCACAAGTATCATCAGTGTTCTTAGACAAACAAACAACTACATGTGTGAACATAAAACAGATAGATTTATATCAATTATACAGAGGCTGTTAACAGCAACTAGCATATCACTGCTGTCAGAACAAAAGCTTATATGTCCACTTTTGCCTTTTTTCTGTTTTGATATAATTTGAAAATGCCTGTTGTCTTTTACATTGTGTGTAAATTTCATGGTAAATGGTCCAAAAGTTCCATTGACTTACATTAAAAGTAAAGTTTTTTCCTTCTACACTAAAGTTATTATTTTGGAGATATGAGGTTTTGTTCTGACAGCAGCGAATCATCATTTCCAATGAAAAATTGTGTATTACATTAGAAATTAATTCAAAATCCAAGCATTTTCACCAGTGATCTCAGACTTTTTTTGGACCCCACTCTATCCAAAAGTCTAAGATTGAGTTGAGTCCCTTGCAAATGTTACTATTCACTTATTTGCATTTCGCTGTTGTCGGAACAAAACCTTGTATAACTGTACAGAAAAAAAGAAAAAACCTACTTTAATTTTAATATAAAGTCAATGGAACCAGACTTTTTTCCAAGTAATTTTGGATTGGTTTCTTTTGGTCCATTTATCATGAATTGTTCACACAATGTAAAGGTCAATAGGCATTTTCAAATTGTGTTGAAAACTGAAAAAAGGCAAAAATGGAGATACAAGGTTTTGTCCAACAGCAGCCATTTGTTTCAAATTTGATACAGAATCATTCATTACAAATTATATTATCAGCTCAACAGTTTTAATGAAAAGTAAAATCTTTTCAATTTGAACTTGACTTTCGGAATTTCTTAGTATTTGGAATGCCTCCTTTTGTTTTAATGACAGCATCTACCCAAACTGGCACAGATTCCATAGCAGAGTTGGGTCATTCAGGTCCAGAAAGTAAACCTCCTCCCCAGTTGGCACACCACCAGCTTCGCTCCACGAGTTTAAACAAGGTGGATCTGATCTGGTAACAGACCAGATCCTCCTGAGAGTCACCTGAACACCTGCTGATGGAAGAGATAAGACTCAAAAAAAAGCCTTAACATGGTCAATGTCACAATTTGCTTCGGTTTGAATAGAGACATAATAATAGTGCAGAATCTGGCATATTCATTGTTCAGTTTACTTCTTCTATTTGACTGCATATACATATGCAAAAGTGTGGGCACCCTGGTCAAATTCCATGTTTTGGTCATTTTCTAAGTGAAACTGAGTGAACACATCCTCCACAGAGGACACAGTTCTGCACATGTTAATAAACATTTACTTTTTATGTGCTGTCTGTCCTGTGATGGACTGTCCAAGGTGTATTCTGCCTTCTACCCAGTGACCACTGAGATAGGCTCTAAAACCCCCGCTGCGACCCAGGAGGAAAAGTGGTTTAGAAAATGTGTGTTTGTGTGTTTATGTGCTGAATTTAAACTATTGGGGGAAAAAAGAAACATAAAATACATCATTTGCAAAAGTTATGATACTTTTTATAATTGTGTGGTTTTTTTTTTACCCTACATGTTATATAAACAGAAATTGCGCACTAAAAGTTGCTTAGTAAAAAATTGCTGTACTCAGATTTTCATAGCCTTTTAAAATGTGGCACTACCATTTTGCTTGTGCAAATTAATTTTCATGTTGTTGAAATGTCTCCAAGCCATGCAATGTATTGTTGCTGTCAGAACAAAACCTTGTATCTCCATTTTTTGTCATTTTCCAGTTTTAGACATAATTTGAAAATGGCTGTTGCCCTTTACAATGTCTGTAAATGTCATAATGAATGGACCAAAAGAAATGTCCCAAAATGACATCTGGTTCCATTGACTTTCATTAAAAGCAAAGTTTTTTCTTCTTCTGTAAAATTACCATTTTGGACATATGAGGTTTTGTTCCGACAACAGCGATATGTTTCTAGTACACTGTAAGAAAAAATGGTACTGTTCAGGTGCATTTTTGTTCACCAAGGTACAAACAAAGTAAACTACCCTCAAAGGTACAGTAGTGATCTTAAGGTTCAGCTGTGTTCCTTAAAATAGTTTTAAATGTACTCTACATTCACCAGGAAGGCACCACCACAGTGACAGTTTTCTACTAGCTTTAAGAGTGTATGCAGAAAGTCTTTATGAAGGTTTCACTGACTTCGGTCTGCCTTTGAATGTCTTGCTGCTTCAGGTTAAACCTGCGTGCATTCCGCTGGACTCAGTCCATGATCTACTTCATAGAGGAGATCAACAGAAACCCTAACCTGCTGCCCAACATCACGCTGGGCTACAGGATCTATGACACATGCTGGCTGGTGGCTCTGTCTATGAGAACGGCCTTGTCGGTGGTCTCTCAGCCCCTGAAGAGGAACAGTACTGGAGCGTGTTCATCCCCCACCATCCCTCTGATCATAGGAGACTCGGGATCCACTCTGTCTATGGCCATCTCCAGACTGCTCAATCTGTTCAGCGTCCCGCTGGTGAGACACAAACATGGCCATGCACTGTGTGCTCGAATGTGTGTGCTGTTGAAACGACTCTCTCTCACTCTCTCTCTCTTTATCTCTGCCTCTCTCACTCTTATCCACTCTCTGTTTCGGATTTTCGCTTTCCCCATGAGAAAACTTTGTAGACTGAAAGAAATCAACCTGAATTTTTTTCTTTTTTTTCTCTTAGTTTAGGCAGAAGTTCTACTTAAAACCCAGAAAACCTAATTCAGTACCACATCTTAGGTCAGTTCTTGCCCTGAATTTAGTCATTGCTGATGCTGAAGTTATGACTTCGCCTATCACATAGTGTGGTGGGGGGCCTTAAGGGCTTCTTCCTCAGGCTTCTGACCGTGGGAAGCTGAGGTGTTGGCAGGATTCAAAACAGTGATTAAGCAGTTAGACTATCGTATCCCACTGGAGCTGCAAAGCTTTTTTCTGCGCTTCTGCTTTAAAGAATTAAAGAAAAGGTGAATTGAATCAGATCAAAGTGACCTGTTCTTACATAGCTCCTCTTTTTCAATAGAAGGCATTCTCTGCGCTTGGATAAATAAGACTTACCTGTGCCAATAAATACATGAGAGCATCATGTTTTCTATTATTTACTCTTTCCTATGTTCATTGTTCCATTTTCATTGTTTACGTTTACTATCAGAAGGCCTGGAGTCAGTTTTTTTTTATATAAAATTAGAAATAAATTGGAAATCAAACATTGCTAGTTGATTCCTTTGGTTGCTTTAACATGCTAGGACTTCTCTTCAGCTCCTGAAGTCCAAATCAATTGAATTTAACATTTTAGTTTCCATCCACAACTTAACAACCAAACAAAAGTAGTACTGTAATGCTTGCAGAGTTTAAACCCAAGCCTGATTCTATTGAATAAAAATGAACTAAAAATTACAGGCAGGCGTATTTTTAGCTCCCAGAAGTCAGTAAACCTTCTCTGAAGGCCTCTTCATTTTAGCATTTGTAAGATTTGAACTATGTATCATCATCAACATCATCATTGTAATATTCACTAAACTACCAAGTTGTTTCTAAAGTGTTATTTCATTTCACCAACAAAATTGTCATGACAGAATAGAATGTCAGAAGAAGTCAGTTACTGCACACTTCATGTGGTATGTCAGCAGAGTTGACAGAAGCAGTCTATATGACAGACAATGCCTATTGGAATGAGCCTCTATAATTTTTTTTATATTGGTTTAAGTCAGTTGAGTTATGTAGGTGCTACCTAGCATAATGAACTGCCCTACAGTAAAGTGTTACCACTCCAGTGTTAAAAATCTATTTTTTACATTTTAAAAATCTAAATTTATAAAAAAAAATGTCAAAAAAATCTAAGTTTTGGGTAAATTACATTGGGAAAAAATTGAAAAGATTAATGCAGAAGGATGACACAGTATCTAAGAATTGGTGACTTTAAACAAGAGAAAAAAGTAAAAAATTGAGTTAAATTTCTTTTTGAAATTTCCCTTTTTCATGAATTATTCAAAAAATGTAAAGGGAAGCTGGTTTTCACTGGAAAACTGGAAAAAAACAACAACATTATTTTATGATGACTTTTTATTATACATATTCTACTAATTTATATTAAATTTAGACAAAATTGTATTCTCTATATCTTTTACTTACTTTCTCTATCTCCTCTCTCTCTCCTAAACTCACAGGTTAGCTACTTTTCCTCCTGTGCTTGTCTGAGTGACAGACAGCAGTTCCCGTACTTCTTCCGAACGATCCCCAGCGACACGTACCAGGCCAGCGCTCTTGCCCGCCTTGTAAAACACTTTGGCTGGACATGGGTGGGTGCATTGGGCGGTGATGATGCTTATGGGCGAACTGCCCTGGACATGTTCACCGCCGAGGTGTCCCGCCTGGGCGTGTGCGTGGCCTTCCGGGTCATCATCCCGAAGGTACCTTCTCAGCTGCAGCTCCAGGACATCGTAAAGACGATCCGAGACTCCACTGCACATGTACTGGTCACCTTTGCCACTGAGGAGGACATCCAGCCAGTGGTGGAGGAGACGGTTAGGCAGAAAGTGACAGGCAAGCAGTGGGTGGCCAGTGAAGCCTGGATAACGTCCACCCTCATCTCCACTATCTACCCCTCTCTCAGTGGCACCATCGGTTTTGCCATCCGCCGGGCTGAAATCCCTGGCCTCAGGACGTTCCTCCACAGCCTGCAGCCATTGGCTGACCCATATAACCCCTCTGCCAGGGAATTCTGGGAAACGCAGTTTCAGTGCTCCTTTAATACAAGCATGCCAGTTGGCTCTATGGCTGACCCTGTCCACTACAACCGTACCTGTACAGGACAGGAGAAGATTGCGGACACTGAGACTATCTATAATGATGTGTCTCAGCTCAGAGTGACCTATAACTTGCACAAGGCTGTATATGCAGTAGCACACGCACTGCACAACCTGCTAATGTGCAAGAAGGAAGAGAGCAGCACTGATAAGCAGCAGCAGTGTCCAGATATCTACAACCTGCAGCCCTGGCAGGTATAACAAAACTCAGGGCTTCTATGAATGAAACATATTCCAGACGCATTGTCTTGAAATACAATATTATCCAAGACCACCTTTCATTTGTTTGATTTCCAGTTAAAATGACCATTAAATACAAGTTATTCATTTTTCAAAGTCAGCAACAACACTTAAACATAGTCTTTAATACTTAGTGTGTCCACCCTTTACCTTTATTACAGCTTCTATTCTTTTCAGGAGACTCACTTTAGTTTTTCATTTATATATTCCCAAAGTTTAGTCTTAGAAGTTGGTTGCATTTTCTGCTCCTCACAGTCCAAGTAATCCCAAACACACTGAATGATGTTGAGGTCTGGGCTTTGGGGTGGCTACTTATACTTTGAGATCTATCCACATCTGGTCTGAAACAACAGTGAAGCTTTTCTCTCAAAGATTTAAGTGCATACTAAAGCTTATCATTCAGTACCTACACAGATTTCAATGCAAACTAGCTGAGCTGTTCTTAGGTTATTGTGTGTGTAGTAAAACGTTGGGCCTGCCAGTGGGCCCTGGCCATTTAAGGGGTTAAATAAATGATGAGTGGTCTTTTGCACAGTACTGTACAATAAAAAGGGACTGAATGGATTGAAATTGATTTAAATGCTTATCTGCATTTTCACCTGAATGAAACATCAACACAACCACGTTAAGTAAGACTACTTAGGGCAACAACTGTGTCGATATAGGTAGAAATGATGTACACATTCAAATCGAGTCAGTTCTTTTTCTTGTACACTCCTGGGCAAAAAAGCCCAAAATGGCAAAATTTTAAGCTTTTAATAGTCTTAACACCAAAACGTTAAACAAACAGAATAAATAAGTTAGTATGGTAGAGCTTCCATTTGATTTCTTTAAATGTTGATGTTTTGTGTGTGAATTTGCAGACAACCTTTTACAGAAAGGAGAGTCCGTACTCAGCATTGATGGCTTCATACAGCTAAAAACTTTGCCAAGCTAGTTTGTGTTTAATGTGAGATAAAATACTCTATATGGTTTAAATATAAATTCTGTCCAAACCATCAGTAAAAAACCTTATATTTTGGGCTTGGCCCATTTTTTTGCCCAGGAGTGTAGATTATTTCATTAAAACTACCACAGCCGACATTTAGATATTAATGTGTACAGTCTACTTTTATCCTTTATGCATTAACATTTTTTAGGTGATACAGTACCTGAAGGAGGTGAACTACACTAACATGTTTGGAGACGCTGTATATTTTGATGAGCATGGAGACCCTGTGGGGTCATATGACGTTGTAAACTGGCAGAAGGGACCGGACGGCAGGACATCGCATTTTGTTACCGTTGGACGCTTTGACTCCTCTCTTCCAACCGAGCAGCAGTTAGTGCTCTACCAGGACAACATTGTGTGGCATGGGGGATCCAAGGAGGTGAAATTCTTGATTATTCACCATTACGGCTAAGTTGTATTTACTAATAGTTCAGTTTTATAAATGTTTATACCAAATATTTTGACCCTGGAGGGCAACAGTCCAGTGTTTGTGGTGAGGTGAGAAAGAATAGTATACAAACAATGAAGATAGGTAGGTCTCAGATTTTGTTAACACTTTGTTTGAAGGCTACCTACATCTGGACATGCATAAGCATTTAATAACACATTTATAAAGCAATTCTAGAGCGTTCATGGATTGCTTATGCCATTAATGGGTAGATGACAAGTTTTTTTATGAAGAATACATAATAAGCCCAGCATTGGAAAGTGTTGACATAAATTGACAGGCACTTGTTCCATTTATAACACTGTTATAAAGCATCATTCTCAAGTAATGGAGCTTAGAACTAGTTAAGAATACCATATATCTTAATACTTTAATAAAAACTGTACTTTTGTACTTAAACCCTCAAAAATATATATATATAGAACTTACTAATAGTGACTCAAAACTACTTTATAATGTAGGCTCACTTACGTGGGGATAATGTGTTAGAACAATGTTATAAACGGGACAAATGTCCATCAGTTTAGTTTAAAGCCTTTTATGTCAATACAATATAATTTAGGTCATACAACATCTTATGTTATCTTGCAATTAATGACATGAAGAGTCAAGCATTGCTTTATAAATATGTTATTAATTGCTTATACATGTGTTATGAAGACCTTATGTAGATAACCTTCAAATGAAGTGTTACCAGGTTTTAAATTGCATTTTATGATATTACAATATATTAAATTTTTACTTTCAAAAAAGGAGGAGAAGGAGAATAATGATTGGATAAATTATATACAGTATGACAACATCTTTTTCAAAATTATGTATAGTATGAAAAATGTTTAGGTGAAAGGTTAGGGTAACTTTCTGGTGGCCAGCAAATGTCCTGTTTGGCCCCACTTTAGGCAGGCCTGGTTCATACTTGTTTTAAGGTCGTACACATTATGCACTGTCATCTTCAAGATTGATATTTGAGATGAAACATTGGTGAACGATCTGTCATAATTCAAAAATATGATGTTTTAGCCCTGATTTCTCACTTTTATAACTAAAAAACTTACACTAGTTTCTTTAGCTACTGCAACATTCATAGTGGATCCCAAATAATAGTATTAAGATTAGTTACTACATAATAAGCCTTGGGGTTAGGGGTCCTCTCACTGTATTTCAATGTCTCTCACTCTCTCTGTCTGTCTCTCTTTCACCCCCATGTTCTATCCCTCACTCCAGGTGCCAGTGTCGGTGTGTTCACCTAGCTGCCGGCCAGGCTATAGGAAAGCCACTCGCAAAGGCCAGCCTGTCTGCTGCTATGACTGCGTGCCCTGTGCCGAGGGCACCATCAGCAACAGCATAGGTACACTGCTGCATCCAGGAGAGCCTCTATACTATCCTAGTGTCCTTGCCTACTCCAGCTTATTCAACTCCTTGAGCTTGTTTACTGAAGGTTATGACTCCATTAACTTACCACAATAACACTGCATCAGCCTCTCAGTCTCTCTCTCCTTCCAGTATAAACACCCAATATCAGTGAGAACTCTGAGCCAAAAACAAACAGTTCTCTTGGAATCTGACCATTAAAATTTATAATGATGTGAAAGCCACAAAAAAACAAAGCTTTAGTCTCTGGATCCTGAATTCCCTCTCCTTTGTGTTATGAGGTTGAAAATGGGTGTTTTGTTGAAGGACCAACTGGGTGAACCAATTCGCTATAGCGCCCCCCTGAGGCAGACCAGTGCTGCATCACTAGTTAGTTAAGAGAACGAAGGACAGAAGTTTGCTGATTGTTGGTGAAGCAGGCTAAACAATGACCTTTCCCTGAATTTGTGACATAATTTTGTGACATCCAGAGTTCCATGAGGTTAATTTGGGTTCTTAGCCCCCTTGTATTTCGCACTATCCTCAGGGAACATTCACTATTTCTTTTGTCTTTCCTCCCAGATCAGTCTGAGTGCACGCTCTGCCCTGAAGACCTCTGGTCCAACCCACAACGTGACAGTTGTATTGACAAGCAGATTGAGTTTCTGTCCTACACCGAGGGTTTCGGAATGGCCCTCGCAGCCACAGCCATCCTGGGTGTCGTCGCTACCGTGATGGTAGCTGCCATTTTCCTGCGTCACCGAGACACGCCCCTGGTCCGCGCCAACAACTCAGAGCTGAGCTTCCTGCTGCTGCTGTCGCTCACCTTCTGCTTCTTATGCGCGCTCACCTTCCTGGGCCAGCCGACCCGCTGGGCCTGCCAGCTCAGACGCACTGCCTTTGGCCTGACCTTTGCCCTCTGTCTCTCCTGTCTGCTGAGCAAGACTCTGGTGGTGCTCATGGCCTTCAGGGCCACACTGCCTGGCAACAATTCGGCACGTTGGTTTCGCCCCCCACAGCAGCGTCTGGGCGTGTTCCTGTGCTCCGCCCTACAGTGTGCAATCTGTGTGGCTTGGCTAACCACGGCTCCGCCTCATCCAGTGAAGAACACCTGGCTGTACCGTGACCGGATCATTCTAGAATGCCACTTGGGTTCCGTGGCTCTGTTCTGCTGTGTGCTCGGCTACATCGGCTGTCTCGCTGCCTTTTGTTTTATCCTGGCCTTTCTGGCTCGGAAGCTGCCTGATAACTTTAATGAAGCCAAGTTCATCACATTCAGCATGCTCATATTCTGTGCAGTTTGGATCGCTTATATCCCAGCTTATGTCAGCTCTCCTGGAAAGTTCACTGTAGCTGTAGAGATATTTGCTATCTTAGCCTCTAGTTTTGGGGTACTTCTGTGTATATTTGCCCCCAAATGTTACATCATCATCTTTATGCCTGAGAAGAATACTAAAAAATATCTCATGTTTCAGAAAACTAGCAGATGATTTATAACAATTGACTGAGCCTGTGACTCTTGATAGCGTTCCCTGGAAAAATACAAGAGGGAAACAAATGTATGGAATTTCAAAAAGAATGTATTTTATACAGTGCTGTGAAAAAGTGCTTGCTCTCCCTCTGATTTCTTCTATTTTTGCACATTTGTTACACAAAATATAGTTTTAAGTGTTTCATCTATTGAAAGAATAAATTTATCCAGCACTAACTGGCACCCTATGAAATAGTAATTTCCCCCTTGGTTACGCAATCAACAAATTAACCACCATTAGAAAGTGGCCAGGCAAAAGTGGTACGGTGTGGCAATGCTTTGCTGCTTCAGGACCTCAGTGACTTGCTGTAAGTGATGGAATCACGAATTCTGCTATGTACCAGAGTAATTCAGTAGGAGGATATCTGGCCGTCAGTCCATGATTTGATGCTCAAGCACAGTTGGGCTCTGCTTGAAGACAGTGATCCAAAGCATAACAGCAGGTCTGCCTCTGAATAGCTCAAAAGAAACAAAATAAAGGTTTTGGAGTGGCCTAATCAAAGCCTGAACTCCATTCAGATAATGCAGCAGGACCTTAAATGGGCAGTTTTTGCATGAAAGCCCTCCAATGTGGCTGAAATTAGAACAATTCTGCAAAGAGGAATGGCCCACAGTGATGTGAAGGACTGATCTCTAGTTATTGACAGCATTCGGTGGCACTTACTGCTGCTAAACGTGGCACAAGTAATTATAAATATTAGAGGGACAGTCATTTAAAAACGTTTTGTCTTTCCTCATTTTCTCCTTGTCTAAAGATTTAAAACCATTTAGTGTGACAAATATGCAGGTATAGGAAATCAGGAGAGGGCAAATACTTTATTAGGACACCTCAGCTCTGGTTTCCACCGCTATATTGATAAGGACATAAGAACTTACATCATTCTTTATGTCATTCATTTGGACTGCTAACTTTCAGCCAATGAACTCAAATGGCTGATTTTCCAAGATTAGGCTTAGTGTTAGCTTAAACTACACTCTTAGCAAAAATAGTTTACATAGTACCAAAAAAGGTTCTATGACATAACATTAGCAGAACCCTTTTGTGTGCTATAGAACCAAGTTTCTCTGAAGAACCATGTGTCAGCAGCTTCTCCATCATTGAAAAGAGCTGTTTTACCAGGCAAATAGTTATTTAAGTTGTCACAGCTCTATATTAAGTGACTTAGATTAGATTAAGTGACCCTTATTAGTCCCACAACGGGGAAATTTCACCTCTGCATTTAACCCATCCGTGCAGTGAAACACCACATACACACTAGTGAAGACACATGCTAGGGGGCAGTGAGCACACTGGCCTGGAGTGGTGGGCAGCCCTATCCACAGCGCCCAGGGAGCAGTTGGGGGTTAGGCGCCTTGCTCAGGGGCACCTCAGTCATGTACTTCAGCTCAGGGGATCAAACCTGCGATATTCTAGTCGCAAGGCTGGTTCCCTAAACTCCAGCCCATGACTGCCCCTAATATACAGTCCCATGCAAAAGTTTGGGCGCCCCAGTGAAATTTCACATTTTGTGGATTTTCTGAATGACAATAGGATAACACATCCTCTACAAAACGTCTGCACATTTTAATACACAATTACTGTTTATTTGCTGAATTTACCATATTAGGAACACAATAAAAATGTGTCCTGTACAGAGTTTTTTTGTTTAAATAAATAAATTGAGATAATAAATAGAAATTGAGCATTAAACTGATAGAAATATGACATTATTAAGTCTCTTTCCTGTGGCGGATGTGTTAACTTTCACTTACAAACTCAGCAAAACATGTCATTTGTTCAGTCTTTTGCATAAACCTGTGACCCAACCACTGCCTAAAAGAACCCCAACTTTATTAAGTATGTAGGCCTTCAATTGAAAATATGCCCAAAATATAAGCATGAACAGACAAACTAGAATAGAGGGGAAAAAATAATAATGGGTTATTATTACCAAGCCTAATGGTGCGTTTTATTTTCACCACCAGAGAGCGCTGATGTTCCAGTGTTTCAGTAACAGATAAGCAAGTGAGCTGAGCCCAAAACAAATAGGGGTGAATAAAGCATTTCAGGATCACATCATCACCTAATGGTGGTCTGCACAATATCCATCACCAGTAATAGCTGGCATTCATGAATGCTGGTGTTGCTCCAAAACCCTCCAGCATGTGTTTCACAAACTGTGAATTTTGTCCGAGAACTATTAAAAAAAGACATGCAAAAGACGAAAACATGCAAGTATAAGTTTATATAATTAATTCCTGATAACATATTAATCACTAATAATAATATATAATATATAATAATATATAATAATAATAATAATAATAATAATAATAATAATAATAATAATAATAATAATAATAATAATAATATCCCATGCCTAAAACCTAATCTAAACTCTTAGCTCTGACTTTCCTGAAGAGTGACGTGGCTGGGTCTGCTTATGTCAGAAATCATTTTCAATTTCCGCCATAGCTACATTGGTTGCTATGGTAACGACGGAAGCATGGACAACACTGCCTACTAATGTGTTTACCACATGGTAGAGAATATCACATCAAATAAATATAAATGATTAATGAAATATAAATGAAATATGATTAATGAAATATAAATGATTTTCAGCATATTTCAGCGATTGAGATATAAGAGGGTGCAATGTCTACAACACAAATACAGCCATTCTATTTACTGTACAAACAGAGCAGCTAACATTAATGCAGTTTTTACATCTAATGCTAATGATAATAAAATGTGTAAATCTGACATGTTTTCTTTGGGGACTGTTTTGCATGACAATGGCCTGCTTGTACTTCTCCACCACGAATGTATTTTGAGCCAAGAGCTTTTTTCTAAACTATCGTAAAACAGTGCCTCAGGCATCAGACAATGTATTTGTTACCATTTTGTGTAACAATTGTCTGTGAGGGAGCTTTTAAAGGCATGAAAAACTTTAGACATCGGGTTCCTATCACCACTACAGTGAACAATCCTGACTCAGTAAGATTGAATGAAGTGTTTCACATCAAACCACTCTGACTCACTTTTTTACCCCTTAATGATGGATGCAGAAAATCAGAGAAATTCTAAAAAGGTTGGTAGGAAACATTTTAGTAGCTCAGCTACTATCTTTCTCTTCTCACAGCACTCGACGGTATATGTAAAATACATAAGAGATATAAATAAACAAGACAGATTTTTAAAAATATATTAGGCCTAATCTTAATTTATAACATAAATTAGACCATCATGTTATCAAAAAAGTGCAAAGGAAACTAGTTAACATAAAAGAATGGACAAATTTTCATTTTTTTATATTTTATATTTTTATATGTCTTATGTTCAATTTTATTAGAGTGCAGTGTCCACACTGTTCACTCTGGGTGTGCCCTGGTGCTGTTACCCCTATGAAATCGTCAGCAATCTATTCTGAGAATTTGACGATGGCCCCTCAAACTCACAGAAAGAGGAGACACAGCATGTACACATCAAAGCTAATCAGAGTGAAACGTGTCGGCACGTACTATGTTTTCTATCACTGTTTTAAAGATGCACAAGGCTTGTTTTTATGCTGATAACTGATGTAGCCTTTACTGCATATATATGTATGTATATATATATATATATGTTGTCTGAAGAAAACCTTGTATCTCCATATCTCCATTTTTGTCATTTTTCAGTTTTTTACATAATTTGAAAATACCTGTTGCCCTTTACATTGTGTGTAAATTTCATGAAGAATGGAGTAAAAGAAACAGCCCAAAATGACAGAAATATATAAATATGTATATACATATATAAAAACCTGTCCAGGGTGTATCCTGCCTTCCAATCAATGACTGCTGGGATAGGCTCCAGCTCCCCCTGCGACCCAGAAGGATAAGCGGCTTGGAAGATGTGTATGTGTGTGTGTGTGTATATATATATATATTATATATATATATATATATATTAACACACAATGTAAAGGGTAACAGTCATTTTCAATTTATGTCAAAAACTAAAGAACAACAGGTTCTGTTGTGACAGCAGACGTGTATATTTGTGCTCTGTGGTGGTCCTGTAGGGGTCTACATCATTGAAAAAAGGGTATAAGGGGGCTGACAAAGTAAAATGGATATCAATGAGTGCAGATGCACGGATGATACAATTGGCAACATATGTTTACTGATACTATTACTCATTTCCAATTTGGGATTTATTATACAAAAAAAACCAAGATCTTAGTGAACCCCTACCATGTGTTTCTTAAAATGAGGTGTTACCACATGTTCAAAAAGTCACGGGTTTAGTGGGGCATCATAATGATTGGCTAGTGGGGCATGGTGACACTAAATGACCCCCTGTGAAATCAGTCCTGTGATACAAACTGAAAAAAATCATCCAGGGTTATCAGATCAGGCTCTTTATATATCAAACAGACACAACAACATCACTGAGAAATCGTATGATTAGCGAAGAAAAGCAGATTAAATAGCAGAAATAGCCACAGCGGCTCAAGAATCAGCCTAGACGGGTAACGCACTTCCTCCCACAGAACTGAAACATCAGGGTCGATTGCCTGTAACAAAGTCATTACACCCTCCCTGCACACATTTATTTCCAGCGGTCCAAGGCCTTGAGATGGCACTCATCATGCCAGTTCACAGGATGTCCACAAACGTGTAAAAACCCCATTTGACTGTTACATGAAGTGCCTTGCCTCAGGGTTTCCTATCGAGGTAAGAACACGTGTCAAAGCCACGGCCGCGTTCTCTTCACACCGCTCCGCAGCCGACTCCTCACACCTCTAATGGGTCGGAAAATGACTGTAAATAGCCCCGGGCGCCCCGCAGCCCTGATCCTGCTCCAGTAATGCACAGTAATCGCTCATGTGACCTCCCATTAGTCTCTGTGTGCATCCCATTATGCCTGCTCCCAATTTACATGCTTTTCTTTATATATTTATTTTCATTTTGCTGGAAAAGGGACATTGGAGTTACTGAAACTCAAATCCGTTAAACTATTAAGATATTGTTTACAGCTTTGTGGCTGCGGCAGGGCTGGGGATGTTGAACAGATGTGTGTGAGGCACTCTCCTCTGCCTAATTACCAACAAGGCCCTGCATTTCAGGAAAGCCGTGCCGGAGCGAGCTGACCCGTGCTCCGCATGTTAAATAAAGTGCCAGTGACTTTATTGCGTGACTGTTGTGTCTCATGTACCGGCCACAAAGCCTTGAAGCTTGGCTTTCATTGAAGTCTGTTTCTCAGCAGAACCAGCGGTGCCAGCGAGGTGGAACTTTGCTTTCCCGTCACCCCATAACTCTCTTAGTGCCTCTGAGAAACACATAGCCTATCTATTACCATAATCATCCTATGAAGGGGTGACACACACAACCCAGCTACAGTTACTCATAAAACTCAGCCGTACGACAGGGCATGTCCTGAGTACACAGCTTGGAATGCTGTAAGGGTGTTAAGTTGAGGGGGGGTTATTAAAGGGGAATTCCACTAATTTTTCACAACAGCTGCATAATTAAGCTGTTAAAATGGAAACAAAGTCATTCACAGTGGTTTAATGTGAAATGCGCCATTCTACACTCTTAGAAAGCGTTTCTACAGTAGGTTCTACAGTAAAGAAAATGGTTCTATATAGAACCATGAACACTCAAAGAACCCTCTTAATGATTGAAGGGTTCTTTGCATGGTGAAAGGGTTCTTCAGACTGATGAAGAGTGTGCCTGAATGTGCTGTAGACGGTTCTGCATTGAACCTTTTGGAATGGGTTTTATATATCAACCCAAAAGGGTTCTTCTACTGTTGCGAAGTCAAGCTTGTAACAATAGAAGAAACCCTTTTGGGTGCTATATAGAACCCTTTTCAAAAAGGTTCTATATGTAGAACCATGTAGAACCATATATAGCACTCAAAAGGGTTCTTCTGTTGTTATGATGTCAAGCTTGTAACAATAGAAGAGCCATTCTGGGTGTTATATAAACCCTTTTCAAAAAGGTTCTATATAAAACCATACTGAACCATGTATAGCACCCAAAAGGGTTCTTCCGTTGTTATGATGTCAAGCTTGTAACAATAGAAGAACCCTTTGGGTGTTATATAGAACCCTTTTCAAAAAGGTTCTATAGAGAACCATATTTAACCACATATAGCACCCAAAAGGGTTCTTCTATTGTTATGAAGTCAAGCTCGTAACAATAGAAGAACACTTTTGGGTGTTATATAGAACCCTTTTCAAAAAAGTTCTATGTAGAACCATGTAGAACTATATATAGCACTCAGGTGGTTATATGTAGACGTATTAGTCTTTATGACATCACTAAAATAGTTCAAAATAGGCTGCAGCTTAGTATCCGTACATGAACATTAATAACAGGGGAACGAATGGTACACTTTAAAAGCTTTAACATTCACATCACACATCAAACGTTATTTCAAAAAAGTGAGGAAATTACTTGATACGGGCCCCTAAAATACATGAGGCACAAGTGCCATGATTGATATTACATATCAAAGCTCAGAAGACACATGTAGGCTCACTGGTGATTTTAGATGGCTTATAAAATATATTGTGTTGTAGACGTGACGAGCTCTGGTTCCTAATCACCACCGCTGTAAAGAAATCTGAGCCATAAAGTTTCTCAGTGAACCATTTTACATCCTAACATTGTGACTTTGTTTACATCTCGACTGTTAAATTATGCAGAAATGTAAAATGACCAGTGAAATTCCTCTGATTTTGATGTCTCTCACATATTGGACAGATTGTTGGATACTATGTTGTGCGCACACATCCAGCTAATCAGTTCCCTCTGTGACAATCCCTTTAGGATTTCCCATGCATGCCGAGTCAGTGGCTTTCTCAGAGCGCAGTCCTGCGTATTTGCTCTCTTCCCATCTTTCATCCCTCTTATTTCCCCCCTGAAACTCCAGCAGAGATGAGTCTTACGTGAATTCCCTCCTTATTGTCTCCCACTAGAGATATTCTAACCGGGGGCAACAATGAGGCCATTCAGGGTGACTTTACTGGCGTCTTTGTTCAGCTCTGCCGGGTCAGTAATGACTGCGAAGCACTCAGGACCAGAGTGAGTCCTGATAACCCACAGCTCTCTCTGAAGTGGGGCTGAATAGACACTCTATCAGATCATGGCAGTGTGGAGGTGTTTAGTCTGTGTCAGCCAGGGACAACAGGACAAGAGGAGCGTTTGTGCAGTATCTGCCTGGCGTGTGGTTTTGGATGACAGTAGTGGGGGTGGGGGGAGTGGTCGATGAGAAACCAACAGAGGGATAAGAGCATTGCAGACCATGCCAGCATGTTATTTTTCGCTTTTCTTAAACACAAGAGATGTCTCTGGAAGAGCATAGCAGTTAGGGGTCCACGCACCCTGTAGGCCCACTTGCTCTTTTAATGTGAAACATTAGAAAAATTGGAGTAGTGCTACTCAGCCACTTAACAAACATCTTCTCTGTCTTTTGAGTTTTGAGTCAGTGGGCTTCTTTTAGTTTGAGATGTTTGTGTAAATGTGGATGGACTGTCCTGAACATGTCAAACCCAGCACAAAAGCTTTGCTTTAAAATGAATTTTCCGAGCTTTACATGACAAAAAGAGAACGTTTTTACAGCACATAGAGTTTACCCATAGTACTGTGCAAAAGTGATAGAGGTACCTGAACTTGAGGATTCTCAGACTTCTTAGTTTAGTCAAAAAAAGTCAACTACTGGTCAATTTCTAGTTGCTCAATTAAGTTGCCAACATACAAGTTTTTTTCTCCACTAGATTAAAACATGTCAAAATGTTTATATCTAAACAATGTGTCCCAGTTTAAATGTTTGTTTTAGTCATTCTTAAAATAGCTTATCAAAAATCTCAATTACTAAAATGAATATTTTTTTTTTCCAAAATATAAAACACTGACTTATTGGGAACTCAAGTCCAGATGACTTTTCTTTTTATTTGTTCTTTATTTCACTCTTTTTAAATTAAACATATAAAACATAAAACACTTCTATCTTTTATTTCATATATATTATTTTATTACATATATATTATTATTGGGGGGGCATTTCCCCCTACATCATGACAAATATGCAATAATTTCAAAAGTAAACAGACAATAAAATAAGATATATATATATATATATATATATACATATATACATATATATATATATATATATATACACATATATATATATATATACACATATATATATATATATATATATATATATATATATATATATATATATATATATTATGTAAACGTAATTGAAGTTTTACACCATGGCATTCAGTCTATAGTCTATACAGTCCATATGTGACAGTCCATAAGTCTGTTTTGCCTTCATTGTTGTTCAGCCGGCAGTGTTTAAGCTCCGCCTCTTCACACTGAGGTTACAAGGAGTGTTGAATGAGGCACAATTCAGGGCAGCCAATCAGAACAGAGCCCATTTGCATATCATCGCTGTCAGAATCTCCAAAATGACGACTTTACAGGAGGAGGAAAGAAAAAGTACTTCACTTTTGATGTAAGTCAATGGAACCAGACCATCACAGGGCAGACACACACTTTGACACCTAAGGGCAGTTTAGCATCTCCATCTGGCTGAACTGCATGTCTTTGGACTGTAGGAGGAACCCCACACAAACACGGGGTGAAACATGCAAACTCCACACAGAAATGACCCTGGTTATCCAGCAGGGGAATCAAACCCAGGCCCTTCTTGCTGGGAAACAACTGCGCTACCCACTGCCCCACAGTGCTGCCCCCAGCATCTTTAAATTATGTTAAAAAAAAAGACAATATGAGCTTCTGACAGGGACGATATATAAAAGCACAGTAAACAGCCTGTTTAATTCTAAAGGATTAAGAGAGGTTGGAAATACACACACACACACACACACACACACACACACACACATTTTCTAAGCCACTTATCCTTCTGGGTCGTGGGGGGAGCTGGAGCCTATCCCAGTGGTCAATGGGTGAAAGGCAGGAAGGTTGGAAATAGTCATGTATAAATAAATGATGACTGTCTTGCAAACCTCTATATTCACAGCTCTAGAAGTATAAAGACAAAGTCAAAGTCTTTGTGTAAAAGTCCTCTATTTGGCCATCATGTTCTTTTTTGTGTTCCTCTCTGGTCTGAGTAGTATTATGTAACACTTTGGGGCAAAGATGCACAGTAGAAGGCCGTAACTGGAGGCCAGGATAGCAAAGACCTCCACAGCCACGGTGTACTTCCCCGGAGAGCTGACGTATGCTGGCACAAAGGCGATCCACACTGCACAGAAGATCAGCATGCTGAAGGTGATGAATTTGGCCTCATTAAAATTGTCTGGAAGCTTCCGGGCGAAGAAGGCCAGCAGGAAGCAGATGGCAGCCAGCAGACCGATGTAGCCCAACACCAAGGAGAAGCACACGACCGAGCCCACCGCACAGAGCAGCACCACTCGAGCTCCAAGCTCACCTCCTGCAGTTTCTGTAGGCAAAGGTGGAGCAAGTGCCACCCACAGCACACAGATGCCCACCTGCACCAGTGTGCAGACGAAGATACCTGCCCTCTGCTGACCAGGGCCGAAGTACCTCATTACGTTTGAGCCAGGCAGAGTTGCTCTGAAGGCAACCAGGACCACCACTGTCTTACTGAGAACACAGGCCAGGCACACCACAAAACTGATCCCAAACAGCGTATGGCGCAGCATGCAGGACCATGGCACCGGCCGGCCAATGAAAGCCAGCGCACACAGGAAACACAGTGTAAGTGACAGCAGCAACAGGAAGCTCAGCTCTGAGTTGTTGGCACGGACTAAGGGGGTGTCTCTGTGGTGGAAAAAGGCACCCAGGACGCTTATGGTAAGGACTGCCCCAGCAACAGACAGCACAGAGAGGATGATGCCCATGTTATCTTGAAAGGACAGGAACTCTACCAACATCGGGATGCACTCTGTCCGGTCAGTGTTGGACCAGAACCGCTCTGGACATTTGATGCATTCTGTTGAGTCTGGAGGGAAACAGTTGCAACAATTGAAAATGGACATGTTTACATTTCAGTTAAACTGTTTTTGTAAATCAAACCTAATTGCATGTGTCAGATGTTTATTATCTGATGCTTTTCTTTGTTGATACAACTTAAAAAATGGCAATTTTAATTGAGTTTGGTAACAATTTATAATTACAACTTAATCATTACCAAATAGTTTGTTGATGCTAACAATGCAATGATTATACTATTGTTACTTGTGCATTAAAAAGTGCCACCATTTGAATTATTAACCATTTACTGACACATGAATAATTCAAGTACTGTGAGCGCTTTACATAAATGTCTTATATTTAAGTGTATATTTTTATAATGTATTCATAAAGAGATATTTGCAATAAAGTTTACATATAGAGTCAGAGGGAGAGAGAGAGATTGTATTGTACTTATATATTATCTATTATATACAGTATCTATATACTATTGTATGAATGATTTAAGCATATATTTTTAATGAAGTTATAAAGACATTTGTAATAATATTTTGAGAGAGAGAGAGAGAGAGAGAGAGAGAGATTATTGTATTGTACCTATATGTTAGTGTATAGATATAATGTGGTAGATAACTAAATGTGAAGGAGTGGCAAGTTACTGTGTATCAAACAGGACACAATTCTAAATAATTATTGATTATTTTTATGTCACTAAAGAAATGGCTAGTCAAATTGTACCATTTATGAATGTATATAGAACTGTTATATAATGATTAACATTCATTAACAAACTATTAGGTAATGATCAGTTTGCTGTTTATTAGGGCCAGTTATTAAGTTTTACCTTGAATTAAAGGGGATTTTTTTTTTTTATTTCTTCATAATTAAATATATATGCTGGTTAAAGTGTAATCAATGTCATTCAGAGGGGTTTGACTGCTCTGTTCTAGAAAAAAAAATACTTACAGAGTTCATAATTATTCATAGTGGTGAAGCTACCATGGAACCAGGCATCTGAAGAGTTTAAAGCTTCTAAAAGCTCACTGCTTACGTATATGTTGCCTAATGCCTGAGACACTACGATAGTCCGGGGACAAAATACAACAGTTCTGTACTTGAGCAAAAGTAGATGCACTCTAAAACTAGATGTACTCGTTTGTACACACAAGCACAAAAGTACTAAGTACTAAGTATCAAAAGTATAAGTACTTCGATTTATTGTAGACATCATTATATTATATTTTTTGATAAACAAGTTCTATTTAGGAGACTTAACCTTACACTTAATCAATACTTAATCATATAATAGTTTACAAAGATTACATATTTATTACAAAGATCACATCTTTTACTCAAGTACATAATATTTGTACTTTGTAATAGTTTTAGGTAAGGGTTTGGCCTAAAACTTATTTTTTTAAATGCATTCATGGCACAGAGGTACCTGCAGAGTGTTGTAAGGCAGTTTTTTTCAGATTTACCACTATTTTGCCATCATCAACATCACATCTAGAATCTCAGGAGACTTGTACCCTCACAGGTTGTGTTGCATAGTAAAGCTATACTCACAGTGAGGACATCACAACCACTGGTTCGCATCAACACCTCTCTACAAGTCTCTACAATGAACCATTATACATTAAACCACTCCAAATGACTTTGTTTACATCTCACCCATTGACTCATGCAAAGACTTTTTTAAATGAATAGAATCCCCTCTGATAAATGGGGTCAGATGTTCTGTAAAGAGGGTGAGAGATGACAAGCAAAAACCAAGACCCATAAACTTCTCCCTTTTTCAAGGTGGTTGTACTGTACCTGTAGCATTGCTGATCTCCCCTGTTGCGCATGGTATACAGTCATAGCAGCAGACTGGCTTTCCTTTCTGCACAGCCTTCCTGGTGCCCGGGGGACAGCTCTCACTGCACACAGACACCGGCACCTCGATCGCAAAAGAAGAAGTTTCCATCAGCTTCACAGAAACATTCCCAGTGCAGACAGGTGCACCAGAGGAGACCAGGACAGATTGCTTTATTTAGCTCCACAAGAATGAGATATGCAACTTCTTTCATGTGTAAGATCAACAGACATGCACACACAGGCTTGTGAGTACAGAACACCCTCTCCCACATCTGCAGGCACTCTACGCTAGGATGCTATCTATTTCCCAAACAGAGATGATAATTAGGTTTCCTCACCACACAGTACCCTCATATCATGGCTTTGTTATGTGTAGGCCAGTTCAATACAACCAACTCTTTGCTTGCTGATGGGTTGCCCTCTCCCTGACTCAAAACCACAGCGCAGCTCTGCTGTTCCCACTAGAGCTCTGAATATGTGAACAATGTGTCTATATAAATACAAGACCCTTCGCAACGAAGTGTGAGTGACGTGCTATGCTGCAGAAACCTCAAACTATTGTTCTCTGTTTATTTTGAGTCTTTTTTGCCAGTCGTTTGAAATGTGTTACATGGAACTGTCCTCTGCATTCTTACCTCATCATCCCAGCCGCCACCCCAGACCACTTTTCTGAGGTCCAGCTGAAAATCTTGCTCTGGTCCTCTTGCTGCATCAAATTGCCCAACCTGGACAAACTCCATTTTTCCTTCAGCCCCCATGTGCCAGTTAATTATGTCGTATGAGGCAGATGGGTCCCCATTTTCATCAAAATAGACTGGCTCACCCACTGGTGTTGTGAACTTTACTGCCTTGAGGTAGTACAGAAGCTGTAAACAAACAGTCCAATTAATTACATACTACAAGTTGAAAAATATGAGAAGGTTCCCTATCCCAGTCCTGGCACCAATTAAAAAGCTCCTCATAGATTGGGTCTAATGAGTAAAGTAGGGAAAAGACAAAAATATGCAATAATGGAGTCACCAGAACTGGAATTGGGAATCCTTATGTGGAAAAAAAGACTTTAAGGTCAATGTTTTTTTTTTTTTCCCTTTACCTGTTTGGGTCTAATCGGTTTAATATCAGGACACTCCCCATTCCCAAAAGGTCCTTTGCCAGGCTGACAGGTCAACATATTCTGAATAGCATTTGCAATAGCATACACAGCCTTATACACATTATAGTTGATGTCAGAGTAGATCTCCTCCCGTTCTTCCACTTTCTCCAAGCCTGGGCAAAGAGATCTTAGTGATCCTGACTGAGTTTCCTCCCCAAATCTGCACCCAAACAGTTCCTCCAAAACATTCTGTACCAGTGGTTCCTTTCGGTGTATGTCAGAGCCCAGTTGGGCCAGATAGGAGCCCAAACCCTTGATGTCAACCTTCCGCAGGGCGAAGCCAAGGGTGCCTGCCAAGCAGGTTCCACTCAAAGCAGAGTGCTGGCTGGAGGTGCTCCAGGCTTCAGTGGCAATCCACTGCCTGTCAGTCACATTCTGCTTCACCACTTCCCTCAACAAGACCTCCATGTCTGGGCTGATGGCAAAGGTCACCACCACCCGAGCCTTGGAGCTCTGGATTCTTTCTACAATTCGCCTGATCCTGTTCGGTGCAAAAGATTTGGGGATGACCTCGATGTAGTCCACGCACACATCTGATCCTTCTAGTTCCTGCAGCAGTAGCTGCACACCACTTTTGCCATATGCATCATCTCCAGAGATAACCCCAACCCAGGACCAGCCCATCAAGCGCAGGAGCCTAGCCATGGCTTTAGCTTGAAAGGCATCACTTGGAACTGTGCGCAAGAAGGTAGGGTACCTGGTGCGGTCACTGAGACATGCACAGGAAGCAAAGTAGCTAACCTGGAGCAGAGGAAAACAAACAGATCAACAGTCAGTACTCCCATCCTTGGGTCAGGTGGATAATAAAGATGAACAAATTAACAAAATATGTTTGCCATTTACCATGGGGATGCCAAAAACACCAAGTGTTTCAGCCACTACTATAGAAGCAGAGGAACGGGCATCACCAATTATGACCGGCACGTTGGGAGCCTCAGTACACTGTTCCCAGGACACTGTTTCCTCCTGCCCTGTCACTAGTGACAGTGCGGCACTCAGAGTGCTGCGCTCAGTCAGACAGGTGTCTGCAGCAAGGTAGCCCAGAGTCAGATTGGGCAACAGGGCTGGGTCCCGGTTGATTTCTTCCACAGTGAAGATCATTGTCTGGAGCCAGTGGTATGAGCGCAAGTCAGCACTGACCCAGAAAGAGAGGAACATTTTGAGGTTGCATCAGGAGAAAGGTTTAAGCAGCTTTGGTAAATTAAGCAAATATAAAATTATAAAGAGAATATCTGCAAGAAAACCAAGTCGGTCTATACCCACCTTTGACAGCGCCCTGCCTGTACTCTTTGTGTGAATGTGTGATCGGGTTCGGGACCTTCAAAGTGAACAGGAAACAAACCCCCAATAATCACGTCTCCCTCCTTATACAGGCTCCCGGATATTGACCTGCTCTGCAGAGCACAGGAGAGTCCCAGGGAGTGCACCCAGACCGGCCCAGCGAGGAGCCCCAGTGTCCACAGCCATGCATCTGTAGCCATCACTTGAGGAGAGGACAGTAATGGTGAGTGAAAGGAAGAGGAGATAAGGGGCTCAGAGAGAGAGAGAGGATGGAGATGTAGCTCCAATTTAAAGTAGTAAATTTGCCCAGAGCAAAAAAATATAATTGGGAGAAGTCCTGGTGGAGCAATTTTCCAGGCCCACAACAACAACTAAGCAAAAATGTATTATATGCATCATATGTACAGAAATACAAGTTATGCAAGTTATACAAGTGGACTAACCTTCACATGTACTTCTTTATCTGTAATGTCGGGGTTCATACAGATGGCGAATCTGATGTTTGGGCATTTATGATTAGCAGGTTGTACGTATTTGTGGGTGTATGTTTTCAGTGCTCTTTGATCTTAGCCCACCGGGAAAATAGAGACAATTAAACCAAATTAAACAATCACTGTGACATCAGGGTTAATCGGTCTGTTTTCCTGAGCTGTGAGCACATAATCTCGATAGTCCTCAACGGGTTCTCCTCCAGTTCACACACACAAACACACAGGACCATTGCAGCATGCATGATTTCAGCTTGAGAGCTAGTCTCACTGGGCCAAGCCTGGGGCAGAATTAAGTCATGAGCAGGGACATATGTAAACGGTGAAAAGGCTCAAAAAACAAGAGCTACATATTATTCAGAAGCGAATCAGCACCACAACCAGCGAGCAGAGAGACACATCAAATTTCTACATTAAAGTAAACTGTTTCTCAAGGTCTTTTTGCAAACCTCAATGGTAGCAATGTAGAGAACGGTATGCCAGTAAATAATGTTAATATCTATGAGCTGAAAATTTTTGTAATCGCACACTGTACAGTCCCGATTGTTCTTTCCAGTTCAATTTTACCCACAATCTTTTTTTGACTGTCTCTTAAAAAGTGACATTTAACCAGCAGAGCTTATGTGCTGAACTTTTTTCACCTCCATCCTTGATCGAGGACCCACGGCAGAACAAGCAGAACCCATGTCCTGCCATAGGATATAATGGCGTTTTGCTCTCTGAAAGCATTCTTAATCACAGAAGCCTATTTCACTTTCTATTTTGTTGTTTTTTGACACTAGAGAAGCATATATACACTGCAGTGCGTTTAGTGGGGCATGACTGGCAAGTGGGGCATTGCAGTAAATGACCTACTGATGCTAGGCCTGCACTGGGCCAGACACCATCTTCTGGGCAAAATATGGGTGGGAATGTCGACTGAAGATAGGGACAAGATTGAGTGGGACATTTCTAAACCAATCCCATGTCTTGAGAAGAAAGCAGGGGTCAATGGTGTGCTTGTCAACATTGTCTGACAGACAGTGAGCCTGTCATTAGCTCAAGGATGTAACGTAAGTTAGCATGGCTGAAAATGACCTTCAGCAACCTTCCCTCTGCAAGGGTTCTGTTAGGTAACAACGGCATTGTGCTAGATAGCTTGTACTTCGTATTGTTGATTGTACTCTGGACGCTAAAAGAACACTAACTAAAGAATTTTGGGGCATGCTTTAGATGGGGTGAACACCATTTGCCACAACCCAGTACCCCAGACTTGTATTCTCGTTAGACGATAATGTCTGGCCCCATGAGACCACTTGAGATCTTGTCATATAATGAAGCAATCTGTCAAGAGTTCATAAGAGGCAAGAAGGTAGATGACCTTCTCATCTAAGAAGAAAGGTTTAGCCCCAGAGTGCAGGGTCCTAACTATGGCACCACAAATGAAGTAGGACCCGTCTGAACAGGAAAGATAAGAGGAAGAAAAAAAAGGAAGAAGGTTCAGGTCTTTCTTTAGCTTGCTTTTCTGTTGCAGAAAATGACGCTGCTGATTGTAGTGCTCTCACAGGCAAGTGCACACTAACTGTGCTCTCCATTGATCTCCACTTGAGTTCATTTTGTGTGGAGAGCTGCTTTCATAACAAACTTACTTCCATTTATTTTTAGCCATAAAGGCAAAAGGTGAAAGAACAGCTCTGGACAATGCCAGATTCCTTTCACAGACTCCTTTCACATTCACACATGTTCAGTCGGAAATTGCAATCCAGCCTGAAGCTCGATCTCTGAATTTGACAAGTCATTTTCTGCTTTACAGTCAAATGTAAATGTTTGGGGGCTGCTGGCCAATTTCATGTTTTGTTGATTTAGTGCAAATAAATTCTCTACACTCTAGAAAAAAGATATAAAACTGTCACTGGGGCAGTGCCCCTCTTGTCACAGGGGTGGTACCCTCAAGGGTACATTTCAGTACCTCTAGTCAGGGAAAATATTTGTACCATAATCCATTGAAATTATATTATCTATGTTGTATTGACTCCACACACCCCGTCTCGTCTCCCGGCTTTTTATTTTGTTGTTCTGTTTTTAAACATTAGATTATGAAGTGGCCCAAATAAAACTTATTTAAGGTACAGAATTGGACTTCACAACCACTGTTGTACCTTTGAGGGCACATTTACATTGCTTGTACCTTGATGAACAAAAATATACCTGCACAGTACCTTTATTTGTCACAGTGTACAGAACAAATTTCTACACATTTCAATATAAAATTACTAGTTATTTGCCAAATTTGACATATTAGGAAAAAAACGTAACCTTAAAATGTGGCCTGTGCATAAATAATGGCACATAACTAACCTGCCCTGCTTGTGTTTTCTGAATGCCATTATTTTCAACACATATGTACAATACTTATAATACTATATTTACAATATAATACTGATTCTATGCTGGCTTATGCCATTAGTTATTAACTTCTTATTTGAGCTTAATTATCATCACATTCATCATTATTGAGCTATTTTGCTAAAATTTTTAGGCTTAATTGAAACTTTACTTTCACTAAAATAGAATATCTATACTAAAAACACTGTTAGAAACAAGGGTTCTGTGCAGGTACAGTTTATTGTTCATCAAAGTACAAACAACGTCAAAGGTACAACAGTGGTTTAAAGGTCCAATTCAGTACCTTAAATGAGTTTTTCCCAGTGAAAAAGCACAATTAGTACCTTTTCATAACCGATGTTTTAAAAACAGAACAATAAAATTAAAGCCTGGAGACGAGACGTGGGTGTGTGGAGACAATACAACTTAGAAAATATATTTTCAATGGATTATGGTACAATTATGTTCCCTGACTAAAGGTACTGAGATGTACCCTTGAAGGTCCGACCTTCTTGTCAGACCGAATTTGTACCCCTGATTGCTGTTATTGAGTAAAAACATTGGCCCCTGTTCAACTATTCACTGCTAGTTGACTTCCCACAGGGAGTGCAGACTAAAGCCCAGCTGGAGGAGCCTCCCCTGGGGGAAGGATGAGGATGAGCCCTTGGGCTCTGCACAGCTGAGACTGCAACCCTCCCCCAACTGAGCGATGCATTAACAGCCTCTCACACACACTGATATACAATTGCATTCAGACATCATTCAGCACTGTGCAAAAATCAGAGACCACCTTTCATTTACTGAATTTCCCATGCAAACTGCCATTAAGTTACTCATTTTCAGGAGATCCGCTTACGTAAGAAGGAGGAAAGAGGAAAATAGGTGATAAAAAACATCAAATCAAAAAAAAAATTAAAGATATAAAGGAAAACAAGACTCCTAACAACCATGCAAGGCTTGGGAGACCACTAAAATTGACTAAAACCTATTTAAAGCTTTCATCTTTGGAGAATATTAAGCTCCATTCTTGCTTAAACCTAAAAAAATCCACCATCTTTCCACTGTCAGGCGTCAGCTCTACGCCCTGGGTCTGAAAAGGACGTGTAGTTGTCAAGAAGCTGTTACTCAGAAAAGGAAATGGACAATGTGCAAAGTCCAGACCTCAACATCACTAATGTATTTAGGATTACTTACATAGCAAGAAGCAGAAAATGCAACCAGCTTCTCAGACTGAACTTTTGAGGTGTGGAAAAATATCTGCGGATTTCTTATTTGCCACTTTGAGTAGAAATTAAAATAATGAAGGGTGGTCTCTGACTTTTGCACTGTGCTGAATGTATCTGTTAAATGTGAACAGATGCCTATTTAGGCCTTGATAGCTGACCCTACAACACAAGGGCTTCTATGTTTTGTGATATAATCAGTGATACAGTCTTGAGTTATTGAGTTATCTCGTAATATGAGCCTCTTCAGGTGAATACTCACATGTTTGGACACATGTGTACACTGACAAACAGCTGATGGACAAGCCGCCAGCCTGGCACAAGACTGCTCCCCTGAGCAAGGCTTTTCCACTTGGCCTCACTGTGTGTGTGTGTGTGTGTGTGTGTGTGTGTGTGTGTGTGTGTGTGTGTGATCATAGGATATAGCATCCCCCTGAGCAGTGAGGCACATTTTGGGAATTAAACAAGGACATTAGGGACAGTGTTTAGAAGTCCCATATTTAATACTGCCGGGAGGGATATGCATCATTATTATGGACTCTTACATCTCTGTGTCCATTGACTGACCAGCACAGAAGAATGGGCCCAAAAGGTAGGCCAATCCTGCTTCACTAGCTTACAGCAAAGCTTGTACTGTGGCTTTAACTAGGGGTCAATTTAGCTTGAGAAGGTAGACCTAATCTATAACATTATCTTTTGAGAGGTGCTGTATGAATAAGACACATAGACATATGCAAAAGTTTGGACACCCCTGGTTGAATTACATATTTATCATATATCATATATCATTGTTGGCCAAGCTTAATGTTCAGATGGTTTTGAATCACATTTATGCCGGCATGTACAGTATAATGTGTCTCGGGGTCTTGTTCACGAGTGATGTGAAGAGGGATTGTGAGATCGGCTGCAGGTTGGGACAGTCGGCAGCAGTAATGCACTCACTGTACCGGACTGTAGTGGTGAAGAGGGAGCTGAGCCATAAGGCAACCTCTCTGTTTACCGGTCGGTCTACATCCTGACCCTCACCTATGGTCATGAACTGTGAGTAATGACCAAAAGAATGAGATGCGGTGGAAATAAACTTTCTTTGCAGGGTGGCTCTACTTGATAGTGTGAGGAGCTCAGTC